AGTCAGTCATTTGGACATAAAGCAACAAGCCAGTAACTTTTTATGGACCTAAGCCTTGGCGTAAATCTCGATCCATACTTTTACACGGGTTGACACATTACCAAATTTTTTGAAGTATTGACGGAAATGAAGAGATAAATTGAATTGAACGCAATTCAGTGCTGTCCCGCATCGATCAGGACCGTCGGTGGTACGAACTAAAAAAGCAGAGAATCGTTTGGTAGCGCTCTCTCCTTCGCCTTCACCCTCATCACCAACGACAACGCCAGTTGATCAACAACCACTAAATGCTGTTGAACAACGTGCTCTCGAACATCAGAAGCGTCATGAATGGAGACAGGCCAGGTTTGGACTCATTTTACTTGTGTGCGATTGAACGAGTGATTCAGTTTCAATGCAGCAAACGCATAAGCTCAAGCTCATTTTCGTTTTACGTTTTTGGATGCGATAATTGACACTTAGTTGCACTCATAAATAATTGTTGCTTCAGGTATAAATCGTTAGAAGCCGATTCAGCAGCAGCTGAAGAAGTGATGTTACAAGTGCAGCAAATTAATAGTGTTCGTTTTGAGATAACTTCATTTTAATTTTGACTACTGACACAACGATTGGCTGGGTTTATGAAGCCAAACATTAGATAATTCTCGCGAAAATACGACTTGAAAATAATTGTGAATCGATGTATACTTATATATCGCAAAAATTTCTCTTATGCAAACCCTTTCAAGAATGCACATCAAAGTTAATTGTTTCGTTGCAAATCATGAGGATCGCCATTATCAAGATTGCTGTCGTAACTTTTGTACTCAATGCACTTATTCCTTATTTGCCCATCATAATTTCTTGACCAGCTCCCTTATGCATTCCTTACGTTCCTTTGGAGTCAGTTTAAAGAATGGCTGTATATGTATGTACATAGGAATCTGTGTGTAGGGAGAGACATTGAATCTGTCTTTTAGAATTAGCACTCAAAGTATCATATTTTTGATATGTTTTTCTTT